TAGATAATCGACCCCGCTAAATTCCATGGCAACATTTATTTTCCAAAACACTATCAAAAACCTAGTGAAACCCATTATTGCCTATTTTTGAGGAAAACTAAAAAATTTATAACCCAGTCAAGAGCCATCCAAATTACGCGTGGTCGATTATCTATGTTTCCATTTATTTTCGGTATTGTCGCACCTAAAGAAATATTGATCTTGAGACTCTCAGGAAATCCGATGCCACACCTGAACGGAAAGAGTTAAGAGTTTGCTTAGCATTCATTTTGGAGAGAACACATTGGTCTACCTATCTATGAAGAAAGATCGACCTATTTCTATTTAAGTTCTCAGAGATTCAAACTGATTCTAAAGATCTGCTCAAAATCTGATCTTTGAATTATTTTCAAAAATCATTTCTGCTTGTGGAAAGATGCGTACAGGTCTTGGCTATTTAAAACTGAAAACCGTAAGTCTCTATCTGCTTCCGTTCCGGAGTTATTTAAAAAGCAACCGCCTGCCTTGTATTTTGGCACGGATAGTAGTAAGCGAGACGTAGTTTAGCAAAACGATTTTAACCGTTCTTACGGATTTAACACCTCCTGAACAAATTAACAATTCTTACTAATTTTCGTTCCACTAACAACTTTTTATTTAAGTATGGTTTAATTGTAGATTTTTATGCTGGAAAATGCCTATAGAAATCCTATAGAAAAAAAATCTTTCAAATTTCGATTTGCATATAAATGTTTTTAATTTTAGAGCTTTTTTTGCTGTTTTCTCCTAATATGTTGCATCTTTTCATTTTGTGACAGTTTTGATCAATAAAGAAGAGTGGAAAAGAAAGGAAATTAGAAGACCTGCGTTTAAACTAAATAGAGACCTTAAAGCTATGAAAACAATAACAAAATAAAAACGAGTAATAATTTGTTGTTTTACGTCCGTTAATTAGAAAACTTCACCAAGACTATTGAGTGAGTGTCTACAATGATAAAATTTTCATTGTTTAAAAAAATTCCAATAATTATCATGTTTAAGGAAAACTTCCGATTCCAAAAATTTGCATTAAATTATCATATGAGAACGTTTTATCTCAAGTCGTCATTATCATTTGCTATCTTTGTGGGGTTTTTATTTTGTATTGAAGAGTTCTTTTTAATTTAATTTGTCTCATTTGATTCAATTCAAGTAAAAGAAAAAGAAGCAACAACCATACCAAATTTTCTTCTACTACTTTCATCTCTACCTTAAAATGGAATGATATTTTAATGGAAAACCTCCTAAATAAAAATACTCTTCATCTTTCACGTTGTTTCCAACAGTTACCGTACACAGACAGGTGCCTGACAGAAAGAAAAACGTTCCCTTGGATATTAATCCTCTCCGTTCCACAGTTGGCTACGTAAAGCAAACTTGAAACTCTTGTATCTTTGTCTAGGCCGAAAAAGTCTTTTTCATACTAACAATTGCTGGCTTATGCTGTCAGCTTACGTTGGAGAAGAATTCGTTTTTTTTATCCGGCGCATTGTCACCTTGCTGTATTGATTCTACGATATCTGTTAATGTCCATCCCAGTGAACATTGGATCTTAAAGAGTTAAGACAACAAAAATGAACAAGAACAAACAAATATCTCTTTAGATTATTACGAACGACACAAGATCAAATAGTGTTTTTGAAATAATACACCTTTTGATGTATAACATGATCTAATTTTACATTTTAGACGATGAAATGCAGTTCAGAGATATATCACATTCTACATAGAACCAAAACAATAGAATGAGAGGTCATAATATCACCAAGAAGTACGGCAATTCTAATAACTGAAATATATCAAAAAATCTCATTTTCATCGAAACTCAAACCATAACTAAAAGGTTCTACTTAATTAATTAATATAAATATATGCATTAGCAGTGCCACCACCATGATAATACAGAGCAATCTGATAGCTAACCCTGTATGTCATACATGGTACAGTTGAAAATGTTTGACTTGCATACTGATAAACACCAGTACCAGTACAACCAATCCACAAATTTGGTGATCCTAATACACCATAACGTTGAACAGATGAGCAACCAGTTCGACATGACAATGTCCAACCAGTTGAATTATTATAATTAAAATCACCGTTTACTAATTGTTCATTATTAGCTGTATCTTTAACAGAAGCTGTATCAAAATCCCAATAATCATTTGATGAAGCTGTATAAAATGCAAATTTAATTGTAGCTGTACTGCCAGGTGCAATCCAACTGTATGTATAATTAGCATATCCACCAATTGTGGGGTAGCTACCAACTGTACCAGTCCAAACTGAAGCATTTGCCTGCGTTAAAGACATGAGCAAACCAGATGTTGATAATATACATGGTGTACAAACTGGTGAACATGCAGTAGCTATAAATTAGCACAGAAAAACAAATATATCTGGCGCAGAAAGTGTGAATCCCTTACTTGCAGCTGCTCCACCTTTTTATAAATAGACAAAAAGTAGACATAATATTTACTGAGATAGTGAAGTTCATTATCAGAATACTTACAAGTAGTCGTTGTAGTCGATGACGTTGATGTTGATGCTAGAACATAGTTTAAATTTCGAGAAGGAAGAGATCTATTACACTTTATCAAATGTAGTCTACTCACTTGATGAACTGGTCGTTGTTGTTGATGTACTGGTTGTTGTAGCTAGAAATCGAAGTGAAGTGCGTTTTCTTAATCTTTATACTAGGAATAAAAGACTTTTCCACAAGGGTTACTATGATTTAAGACATTTCCTCGACACAACACGCATGTCAATTCCCACAAAAAGTCTCGCCGGTGGCTGCCGATCGCTGAAAGTACTAAAGTTTCTCAAAGAATCTTGACTTCCATCGAAGACAAAGTATGAAGAAAGAATTTATTTTAAAATATTTTTCCACTATAAGTGGACCTGCATCGAACACAGGTCCCTTTCTTGAACCTTGAATTTATTTTGTCAAAAAAATGTTGATTTGAACAGGAAAGTAGGAAAAAGAATACACTTTACTTTCTTATAAAGTCCAACCACCTTTAACAGAGCAAGAAATAGAAACAAAAAAAAAGGAAAAGGAAAATGCAAAAACTATACATGAAATCACATCAAAAAATGTTATGGCATATGGCATACTGCTCTAAACGAGGTTGAAATTGATGATGTACACTGGATATGAGTAAAAAATAGTCACTTTGACTTTACATACTAAATTTTTAGATAACTACGCAACGCACGTTTAAAACGTTTTAGAGTATTACAGGTAACTACTCTTTCTGGTAGAGCATTCCACTCAATGAAAGCCCTACGAAAAAATGTGGATGCTATGTGAGCTTTTTTAACAGTCACTGTTTTTACTTGTTGACTATTTCTCCTCCCCGAATTTAACCTGTTTGATCGGCTGTCCTCTAAAGATTGAATAAAAAGTGATTGAAATTTTGAAAGTGGTGATAAATTATTTTTTACTTTAAAGAAATGTATTAACCGAAAATATTTCCTTCTCAACGTTAAATCTGGAAACTTTAACTTATTGACTAACTCAGTGACCGAACCACCGAACTTACTACAAATTATTCTTGCTGCTAATTTCGTTATTTTATCTAAACTATTACTGTACCACAAACTGTCATACACCGAGCAACAATAATCTAATTTACTTAGTATGCAAGATTTATATATTTTTAAACGCACAGATTTAGGTGCATCTTTAAACATTCTGTACATTGCACCGAGTCTGCGTCTACATCCTAATATTATATCCTGAATATGCGCTCAAATTAGAGGATAATTTTACACCCAACAGAATCACAGACTCTTCCCTTTTCATTAACATAAAATTTATAGTGGAAGAAAGATTATCAGCCACTGATGGAGAACAATGAGTGAAATAAATTCAGTTACATTTAGAGTAATTTAAAGTCATCAAATTCTGAGTACACCATTCCTCTATTTTGTCAATATACATTTGACATTCTTTTACACCGCACACAGTAGTAAAAGGACAAAGAAGTGAACGATCATTTGCAAACAATAGACACAAAGTAGGAGAAGTAATAGACGAAGAAAGGTCGTTAGCAAAGATTAGAAACAGTAGAGGACCTAAAATTGAACCTTGTGGAACACCAGAAGGAATGTCCACAAGGGCCGAAACACAGGATCCAACGCGCACTCTTTGTTTTCTTTTTGTCAAATAACTTTTAAACCATTTATACTCCTGCTCTTTTATTCCTAACGCATTCAGTTTCGTTAACAGTATTTGATATGGGACGCGGTCAAACGCTTTCTCAAAGTCAAATGTAACTAATATTGAATCATCACCAGCCTCTAGCTCATCTTGTATTTTATGTTTCAAATAAATTAGAGCATCCGTTGTGCTTGAATTTTTGACGAAAACCAAATTGAACAGGTGAAAAGGAATTGTGTTTCGTTAAATACGAAACTAATTCATCATAAATGAAACGTTCTAACACTTTACTGAGAATTGGGAATAGAGAAACGGGCCTATATTTAATAAAGAGTGCTTTTGGCCCTTTTTTATGAACCGGCACAACATCAGCGTGTTTCCAGAGCAACGGATGAACGCTGTTTTCAATAGATAAAGAGAAAATATGATGAATAAGATCAATAAGTTCCGTGATACATTCTTTTAATAAACGTACACTGATCTGATCTGCTTCACATCCTATGTCGTCGCGCAAACGACTGACTGCTACATATATTTGTTCTCTACTAGGTACAGACATTTGAAACACATCATTTATGAAAACTTTTGGTTTTAAACATGGTCCTGATATTGGACTAAAACACTCAGAAGAAAAATTCATTAAATAAAACTGCCTTCATCGCATCATTTTGCGCTTGCTTATTTTCTAAAAAAACTGTCGCCGGTAAATCTGAACTATTGTCTTTAACTTTATTTATTCCTTTCCAAAAATCTTCTGAGCTAGTAAACTTGTTCGACAGATTATCAAAATATTTGTTTCTGCTTTTTTCTCAGCTCACTTATTGTGTTACTTCTAGCTAAATGAACCTTATTTAAACTTGTTTCAGACTTATTACGCTTTATTTTCATAATCAACTTATCACGATACCGGCGAAAAACATAAAACTGCCTGCTAGACCGAAAGAACATTTTCTGATGTAGTTTCACTCCTTTCAACGGAACGTCGATAGAACTGTTTACAAAGGACTCAAATGTTTCTAAAGCTCTATCTACATTTTTAATATTTAAAAAATACTCGACTGGTATGGATGAGAGCGATAATCTCATGTTATTCCAGTTACAACTTTTATAGTCTCGCGCCTTACGAACAGTAGAATTAGATAACACTGAAATAGATGGAAATTCACAAAGTATCGCCTGATGATAAGATTTGCCAATGGCATTGAAATAAGAAACTGTTGGTGAAAGCCATATAGAAGGATAGTAAACATTAGGAAATACTCTTTTAGATAAAGTGGTAGAATGAAAGACAGACGGAACTAAATGAAATAAGATACACATTCACGTAATAGATTGAAATTAACCGCAGAACTTTTAGGATCAGAATTAAAATCACCAGCTAAAATCAATTGAGAGCTCATTCCTACGACATTTTTTAGTAAGATATCGGATAGTTTATCATAATAGTCAGAATCGGCCTTAGGTTTACGATAACAAGAAGCTAAGAAAATCTTTTCTGACTTAACAGTTAACGTTAAGTCCTTTCGACCAACAGTCCTTTGCACATCGTGTCAACGACAAGCTTTATCGTTAATCGGTCAAAAGTTACAACGAAGTTTCGTCGATCGACAAGCGTGTAGTGTCGACGAACAGTATGCTTGGTGTATGTTAGTTGGAAGTCATGTTAATCTCAAAAAGTACTAAAATATGAGCTAAATAGAGTCTGAAGCACAAAAGCAATGTTACTCGTCGAACTGGTTGTTGTTGTTCTTGATGTTGTTGAACTACTGGTACTTGAACTTGTAGCTAAATAGAAAAAAGAGCAATACAAACTGGTCTTCTGATGACATCGTCAAGGCTGGTGCAATTTCAAGAAAAGCAGAAAAGGTAACGGGAAGCTCTAGTAGCCGGTGTCGCCTTATTTTCTCTTATTCTTAGCATATTCAAGGTAAAAGTAAAGAAAGGGCATGTCTATCCCCCATTCGTTTTATCATACTTGTGCTTGATGTTGTTGTAGTCGCTGTGCTTGTCGTTGCTAAAACGTAGAAAAAATTCTGCTTTAAAAATAATATTCTTCCGGGTTGTCACTAACTTGTTGAAGTGCTACTGCTGGTGGTTGTTGTTGATGATGATGTTGAACTTGTAGCTAGAAAGAGACAGCGAGAAAAAAATCCTGGTTATTCCATAGCTCGCTTTTCAGGCTTTATTTTTTGGTTGCCAACCGAATCCTCTCAACGTTTTTCTTTACAATTTTAACAAGTAAAAAACTTACTGCTACTTGTTGTTGTCGAGCTGCTGGTTGATGACGAGGAGCTTGTTGTACCTTTAAGTAAATTTAAACGGTGTCATGAAAAATTTATATGTAACCTGCGTGTATAACACCACATTTATCCTCTTACTCGACGTTCTTGTACTTGTAGCTGAAATAGAAAATAGCGAGACAAAATGTATGTTATTACGGGTTCATATATAAGTCAACAAAAAAAAAACATTCAGCCTTAGGTTACGTCTTATTATCTATCTTGGTACATACAATCTTCTACACAACTTACATGTTGTTGTGGATGAACTTGAGCTAGAGCTAGAACTGGTTGATGTTGTTGTACCTATAGAATTAAGAAAGAATTAATTATTTAGAATTCAAAAGGCCGGGAGCGCAGAAGACCAACTAATGACGCAATCCCTGTTTTTGGTTTTTTATGATCTATTGTCATAGAAATATATTAATTAGATTATTCTCTACCACTCTGCATCGAACAAACCAAAAGAAACATAACATTTTCCCGTATCGTGAACTCAGCAGTCTATTGTGCTAATGATTTCAATACTTCTTTCGAAGAATCAACTACTTAGAACATTAGGAAAATCGAGAACCCTAAAACCAGATAGCCGAACAACTCAGTCAGATAGAGCAAACATTTCTGAACAAAATAAGGCGTTCTTGAGCTCGCCATGACCTTTCTTCATCAAACTGCATTCGATTTACGAAAAGCCCTATCTGTTATGTTCTTGAAAATTTGGTAGTTTTGCTGAGTTTGACATTTTGAGGCTTTTCGTGAATCGAATGCAGTATGGTGAAGACAGGTCATGGCGAGCCCAAAGATGCCTCATTTTGTTCAGAAAGTTTGCTCTGTCTGACTGAGTTGTTTCGAAAAAGTTCCCGATCGAATTCGACTACTTGATTTTAGGGATCTCGGTTTTCAAGATATCCTTATCCTTCAGCGATCCCGATCAGGAGGGCCCACCCGTCCCTGAAATTTTTGACTTTCCGTAAAAGTCTTTCCCTTGCGTTTCCGCCGCGGAAAATGCAGCAGCGGTATAGAGGAAAACGGACAGTTGCTCATGAACAGTTCCTCACGGACACTTCCTCACAAAGATATTTCCTTACATGGACGGTTCCTCATATGTATCGTATTTTTACATCACCATTTTCCATAAGATTTTTTTTAATAACTTTCCGCCACAATTACAGATCCTTCCCCATGGCCCAAAAACAATCGGAATAGAAAAATCTGTCCAAAAGTACGAGCAAATATACCAGATTTTACTATTCATATATCATTTTGTTCAGTATTATCTTCTCTATCCAACAGCGGTAGAACAGGTCCTAAGCAGTTGCTCCTTCAAAAGGGAAATATTGAAATCATTAGCACGATAGACTGCTGAGTTCATGATACAGGATAACATTTTTTGTCTATGTTTCTTTCTTTTAGTTTGTTCGATGAGGAGTGGTCATATTTCCCATGAAATCTATCGTTAAAATCAAAAATAGAGAGTGCGTCATTAGTCGGTCTTATGCGCTCCTGTCCTTTTGCACCCAGAGCGGTCTTCAACACATTCATAAAACCCCTAAAATATATTTACCGGTGCTTGCTGTTGAGGTTGAAACTGTGGTTGAAGTAGAAGAGGTACTCGATGCTCAAATGATACAATGTTGAAAAAATCGTGAATTTATAAATCATGAATGGAAAAGAAATCAAAACTTACTTGTTGAACTACTACTTGTTGTCGATGATGTCGAGGTCGTGGTTGAACTTGTTGCTACAAAGATAGACAAAGAAGTAAAAATACCTTCTTTGTTCGGGCTCTTATCATAAATATAAAGTTGAAGAATAAAATGCACTTGCTGCTGCTTGTTGTTGATGTACTAGAAGAGCTTGTTGAACCTAGAAATAGAACTAACATTGTTTAGAATGTTCTTTCTTGGTTGATCGAACATACTTGAACTGCTTGTGCTTGTTGTGGTAGCTAAAACACACGAACCAGAAAAAATCAGTATTGTTTAGACAAGCGCTCACTCCAAAAATAAAGAAAGAAATCAGTGAAAATACCTGTTGTCGATGTGGAAGATGAGGTAGTCGTGGATATGCTCGTTGCTAAAGCGAAGTTTTGTATTCTAAAATATTATTATAGGTTTTATAATGAGGCCACTTACTTGTTGAAGTGCTGCTTGTTGTTGATGATGTAGAACTTGTCGTACCTTACGAAATACACACGAAGAATGCTGTCTCCCTTATTTGCAGTAGTAGCAATACTATGGTCTCTAGGTGCTACTTCTTACTTGAAGTACTTGAGCTTGAACTTGTAGCTAAAAAGGACGAGAAAAATGAGTATAATATATTGTCCGTTCAAAAAGTCCGTGGGTGTGTCCATTTTTTGAATAACTCGAGAACAAAAAGAGATAAAGAGCTGCGGTTTCAGCAATCGAAAGAGAACAGTTTAACCTAGATTTTCACAAGCAAAAACAATTTTTAAGAAAATTTCTGAAGCCACTATTTCAGACGCTCTTCGGAAGACCGGGTTCTAAACCAAAAGTTTTACGCAGCAATCTCCAGTTTGTTTCATAGATAGATAGTCCAAAGTGTCCTCTACAAAACAAGATCTAAACAAAGGTTTCATTTTGCTTGATTCGGGGGCTTCGCGCGTTTTTCTCGAAACACTGAGACTGCGCTATTCTTTGGTCTCTCTCTTTGGACTTTAAAAAACACAGGAAAAAAGATTATCGACGACGCTGAATCTCGCAATCTTAGTTTTCAGAAAAATGCAAGAACCGAACGAAAATTTGTATTAGGTGAAATAACCCATTTTTTAGTACATTCATCCAAAATTAAAACTTCATGGCTCCGTCAAAATTCATCCCAGCTACTTCAGATTATCAAGAATATCTATTTTATTAGCAGTATGCTGTAAAGTTTAATGAACGCTATAAAAACCAACAGAAAATAATTTGCTTTTCGAATCGTTTGTCAGAAATCATCGAAACCAAGAGAACAGTTTTAATGACCTTAGTACAGAATTAGATCGAGTGGATAAAATAGAGTATATCATGATATTCTGAAGTAGCTTCAAGGGATTTCGATTGAGTTATGAATCTTTTAGTTTTTTAATTGAAAGTAGCCAGAAATGGGTTATTTCATCTAGTGTAGGTTTTCAATCGGTTCTTGCAACACGATAGGTTGCTATGTAAAACTTCTGACTCAGAAACTGGCTTTCCGGCATTCTCTGAAAAAGCGAATTCCAAAGCTCTTTCAAAAAATGTTCTTCCTCATGAAAATATGGGCTAAGCTGTTCCCTTTCCGTTGCTGAAAACCGCAGTACTGGATTTCTTATTGTTCTCGACTTATTCAAAAAATACTCATACCCACACACTTTTGGACGGACAATAGTTGTGAATGTTTAAGTATAGAAAAAAATCACACTTATCGAAGACGTAATAGAGCTACTTGTTGCTCAAACATATTGAACTGATACGTCCAAAATAGCTGTTTTCGAACAAAAGGTAAACTTACTTTCTGACGTGGTGCTTGTTGTCGACGATGTTGAACTACTACTTGAGCTTGTTGCTAAATGAAGTGACAAGTAGAAAAACACTCACGAATCAGACAATTTCTGGAAATAAGAACAACCCTACTGCTACTTGTAGTTGATGTGCTTGTCGAGGTTGTTGAGCTTGACGTACCTATGTGAAACTAAGTGACTTGTAGCAGAGACAAACTGAATTGCTCCTGGCTTACTTGAACTGCTTGTACTTGAACTTGTAGCTAGAAAAGAAGCTAAGAACGGTCTAGTTCTCACATACTACAGTTGATTTTTGAGCAGAAAGCCACGGCTTTTTTATGAGAAATTAAATTTTTCCAACTAAAAGGCGTATCATCACAAAATTTGGTAATTGCTCCGCACTGAACCAGATTAAATCAAAACTGGATGGAAGTTGCAAAAATTCTCGATAAAGCGGCTTTCGTTTAGTTGCATTTTGACTGCTTTCGCGTCCAGATAATCTAAGGGCGTCTATGGGATAAATAAACTTTATGCAAAAAACCACGTAGATTGTGTCAACGCCAAAGGCGAAGTCAAAAAGAAATTTAAAGGAAGCCGCTATCGGATTCACCGAGACGTTTTGCATCTGCCACCAAATTCGTATCGATTCTGGTTTAGCGTGAAGCGAGTATCAAATTTTCTACTGCATATGTAGAACATTTCATTAGAACACTGAAGTTTTAGAAAAAGAGAACGAAGTGATTTTAGAAAGCACATACACGATGTCGATGTTGATGTTGAAGATGTACTTGAGCTACTGGATGACGTGGACGTTGAAGTTGTTATTGTACCTATCGTAAGAAATATGAGTATACTTTGCAAAAGAAAGCGCTAGGTTTTTCATTTTATGCTCATATCAGTTCTTTCTAAACGAAATGATGTTAATTCAAAAAATTAAGAAATATGACTATTCACTTGTTGTTGTCGATGTTGATGTACTTGTAGTAGTTGTCAAACTAGTCGTGCTTGTACTTGTGGTACTCGAAGAAGATGTTGAACTGGTAGAAGCTATAGGAAATAATCAAATCATAAAACGAAAACAGTCGTCTGGAGTTTTGGAACAAGTGAAAATGAATTAACTTCTTCGAATTAATTCTTCGAAATGTGTCCAGATATTGGATAAAAGCTCAATCTAAAATTCAATAGTGGATTTACTGCGAAATACCACAAAAGTATCTGCAAACTTCTCAGAGTATATGAACAGTCAGCAGACGCGTCATATCTAAATGATCCACAAACAGAAGAGTAAGAATGGCAAACTTACTTTCTGTGGTTGACGTTGAAGTTGTGAAGGTCGTAGTTGATGGTGTCATTGCTATAATAAGGAAAAGGACAAAACTACTTAAACTTTTTGAACGTTGCTTTCGGTTAGACACTCACTCGTCGCTGTTGTCTTGTTCGCTAAACTAGTAAACAGAACAGTCAAACCAGCTGCCAAAGCCGCCAGTATTAAACCAAGTGCCAATAAACTTCGGAGACAACATGCCAGCGAGCATGGCAGTTTTCCAAACCTAAACGATTTGTGGCGAAACAAAGAAAAGCTCCTCCATAAAAGAGTTCGTTTAAATTAAAAAACATACCGTTTTAATCGACGCTTTCTTTTTCTTTTTTCTTCCTCTGATGATATATTACAACGTTCCACATTTGTTTTTGTGGTAGTTTTTTCTTCTGTCTAAAATAATAAAGAAAACCAGGTTCCAATGTTAAATATACGAAACAAATAAACTTACTAATGTTGTTGTGCTAACCTGAGATTGGTTAACAAAATCAACATCGACATCTTTTACATCACGTACCTTAGAAAAAGAAGGACTTATATTACGTCTATATTTTTGGAGGACAGAGATAATACGCCTTACCAATGTGTTCGTAGTTGAAGGGATACAGCTACTGGCTTCAATTAAACTATTTGCTGGTTCTGTAGATGATAATAATCTAATACCAGACTAAAAGAAAGAAAACCGACCACTACTCCTGGTTCTGATGAAGACACTGTTCCGGCTGATTGAAGTTGCTAATGTTACCTGATGAAATAGATTATCATTAGCCAACTTGGATTGTGATTCATTGCTTTCATTGCGCGTTGATGATGATTTTATTGAAGTAGAAATAATATCGGATGAATGCGCTGAAGTTGTTGCTGTTGCTGATTTTTGTTCTTCTGCTTCATTATTCAGTGGATTAACAGTGTTAACTTGTAATGGTATTCGATTGTTAATTCGATGTACTCTTGGTTTAGTATTTTTTGTTTCATTTAATTTTTTTGTTGTTATTGGACCGACAGTACTACTACCAAGAGATATATGACTGATTCTTGTTACTTTTGGTATTGATGATAATGTTGCGGAACGTGGCGTTGGATGTTCTTCGTCGTTTAATCTTGTTGTTTCATTGACTGGTAGTTGTTGTCGTCTTCTATTTATTCTTTTTACTTGTGGTTTATATGATGATGATAAATTTGATCCACGTATCATTTTTATCTTTGCACTAGAAAATGTTTGTTATTAAACTTACAAAAATAGAAGAAAGAACGTATAATTATATACTAATATAATTCTTTTATTTATAAAACCATTCAGGGTTTCGTTTTTTTAATTAATTTTTCTTTTTGTTGTATTTTTCAATAATGCAGTTTTGTTAAACATTGATTTTTTCTTCAATGGTTTTTGTATTAACTTCTAGATGGTATCTATTTTGTTTTCTTCAGAAATGTTTTCAGAAACCTTGAAAGTTTAATTTTGAAGTACATATAAGCAATCCACTTCTCCTGCTTTTAGGGGGTGGGGTGGGGGATAGTGGGAAATGATGATCTCCATATTGCAAGAGATGCAAGACATTTTAGTGAAAATAGGGGCCTCATTTTATACTCATAGCGAAGGGTAGGAAGCTAGCTTTTCTCTTCTAAATCATACGGCCAATTCTCCGATATTTTCAGAACAAAACAGCAAAAGAGTGAGAGAAAAAAAGACCAGTTGATTTCGACAAATCCTGTCCTGGTCCAATTTTAGCTCTAACTACACTTTCGCCAAGATTTCTTCGTGTCTCAGTGAGGGTGAAAATGAAATATTTTTTTACAAACGCGAGAAATTAAAGTTATTCAAACTCGAAACGCGACACAAAGTGAAAGTTTGCGTTAAATTAGCTTCAATTGAGTCCTAAACACGAAAACTTCGGTGCTGTTCGCGAGTCTTAAAGTCTATTCTGACTGGAAACACGTTTTTAAAAAGTTATGATGGTAATGAACGCGCTCTATGAAAGCTAAAACCGCGTTAAAACGAATTTTCAAAAGATACAGGTGACTGAATGCGAATTCAAGATTCATTTTTTTTAAAGATCATGTGCAGATTTAGGATTTCTGCAGCATGTGAAGCTATTTGTTTTAGAATGACGTTTAGAAACTAAAGTGTGTTAACAAAGTGCAAAATGGTAAAAATTTTAGTTCATCGTTATGGTGTGACTTAGTGAAAGTTTTCTTTAAGTTTTTGTTACTTCCTCTGTTATTGTCAACATCATAGACACAAAATAAATTGAACTCGAACTTACGAGGGAAGTACCCCAACTGATAAATCGCTTTTTCAACGAAACCGAGTGAACTATAGGTAGTCGACGATACTGATCCCGAATATCACCATGAATGCTGCTGCTAGGCCTTCAAAGATCGGTTTTCTGAAAAAACAGTTTTTGAGAAACTCTGATGAGCAACCAAAAGCAATGAGGCGTAATTGTAGTCCATAAATTTCTGATTAAAACGAGGCATCTCCCAGCTCTACACGACCTTTCTTTGCAAAGTTATAGAGTTTACAAGAAAAGCCCTAAATTCATTTTTCGTTTTTCTTT